ACAATTCAGAGCTTCAGTAGCTTTATTGTTCAGGGCCAGTGACGTTACATCAACACTCGTAAAACACCACTTGTAATTTTTATCCGTTAATAGCTAAAGACCTCCTGCACCAAGCATTTCAGCAGTGTCCTTTTTAAATAAATAAGCTTTACTTAAAAACTGCACATCAGTAAATCGAAACTGACTCAACAATCGACAGTACAAATAAAAATCACTAAACATCTGTTAAAAAAATTAAAAAAGGAGTCAGTTAGTACTTCGTTCCTCTGTCTGGTGAGGAGAGTGGACAGATCAGCCTTAGCTCTTCGAATTCAAAGTCTCGGTAACAATGAACCGGCAGTGATGGACATTACAAGCTGTACAACATAACGTGTCGTATGTTCAGTTGTATTTGACACAATGACAATGATCAAAATGATTAATGGGCCGTAAAACACAGAAATAGTTTTCACGACCGTTTTCCCACAACAGACCTATAACTCAAACAGACCTCAAAGTCGTGCGGATGACGTCACTCACATGTCCCATGAAGCGGCACTAGCACCAATCTATGGGATTTGTAGTTCAATGGTAGTTTCTCATCTATAACAATTACTCAGCAAAATTACAGTTACACGGTATCCGTAGTACAGTACTTATATGGTCGCACAATTACTTTTACGACCGCCACCAGATGGCGCAGATCTGCACTTTCCATTAGTCATTCAGTGTTTTTAATTAACACACAGACTGTTTTAAAACAACTTCAGCCAGGATTTAGCATTGCTGCTCTATCCTCTTGCATCTGTTTTTTCTCATCTTAAATTTTACATCACATTCATTGCACTGTATTGTCTGCACTGTGTATACTGTACTGTTTTGCACCATAATCCTGGAGGAATGCCGTTTCATTTCACTGTGTACTTGTATATAGCTGAAATGACAATAAAGCCTCCTGAAGTTGAACATACAACCAAAAGACATAATGCTGAAACATTTTCCCGAACCCAACACACTCGACTCCTCAGCGAGTTAACAAAACTGGAGTCTGTAGGAGGATAAAACTGAAAAATGTTCAGTAATTTTTTCAAAACATACATATGTAATTACTATGTAAATAGCTCCTACAGTCAGTTTGTGTATTCAGTACATTTTCAACCATAATTTTTAAATAAAAAGAAAATAATAAAATCATGGTGGAATGGGAGATTACATGAGGCTGTTTCATAAAAACAACTACATACAACTGAAAAACAAGACTAAACACTTTCTTATAGGCTTTTGTTTAAAAAAACAATTAGTGCATTTCTAACTTGAATTGACAAAAATGATTCATCTCCTCATCTCCACAAGGCCACTGTAAGCTGAGTAAGGCATGTTACAACAAAGAAAACGCAAACACATGCAGAGTAACTTGCAAAATATGCTGACTATGACGTACAAAGCGGGTAAAATCAGCTTAAACCTATTACACCACATACTACTTATGCACACTTAATTAATGAAGAGAGTTAAATTTAGACTTGGTTGAATTTATTACACATAAAGAAACATCTGCATCATTTAATTACTTCTTAATTAATTACTTCTTATTATCTCACATGTACAACCCCATTTCCAAAAAAGTTGGGACGCTGTGCAAAATGTAAATAAAAACAAAATGCAATGATGTGCAAATCTTTTAAACCTTTTATTTAATCGAAAATAGTATGAAGAAGAAAGTACAATATCAAATGTTGAAACTGAGACATTTTATTGTTTAGTGAAAATTATGTGCCCATTTTGAATTTGATGCCAAAAACATGTTCCAAAAAAGTTGGGACAGGAGCAACAAAAGACTGGTAAAGTTGTGTAATGCTAAAAAAAAACACCTGGTGGTTAATTGGCAACAGGTCAGTAACATCACTGGGTATAAAAAGAGCATCCCAGAGAGTCTTCCAGAAGTAAAGATGAGGAGGGGTTCACCACTCTGTGAAAGACTGCACAATCAAATAGTACAACAATTCAAGAATATAATAAGATTAAAAGATTCAGATAATCTGGAGATATCTCTGTATGTAAGGGACAAGGCCAAAAACCAGTACTTGCTGGCCATGATCTTTGGGCTTTCAGGCGGCACTGCATTAAAAACAGACATGATTCTGTAGTGGAAATCACTGCATTGGCTCAGAAACATTTATGAACACAGTCTGTTGCTGCTTCCACAAATGCAAGTTAAAACTCTTAAATGCAAAGAAGAAACCATATATAAACAGGATCCAGAGACACCACCGCCTTCTCTGGGCCCGAGCTCATTTAAAATGGACTCAGAGGAAGTGTAAAAGTGTCCTGTGGTCTGACAAATTAACATTTGAAATTCTTTTTGGAAATCATGGACACTGCGTCCTCCGGGGAAAAGACCATCAGACTTGTTATCAGCACACAGTTGGTCTTTTCAGTTCCAAAATGCTTACAGAGTGTTGTTAAAAGAAGAGGTGATGAAACACATTGGTAAACATGCCCCTGATACTGATTTTACCATGTGCACAATTCCTATATAATTTTTTCAGAGACTATGGATAAATCTTAAATCTTACAAGACAGCAAGGAACTGAAAAAAATTACATTTATTTTATTAGACAGGCTGTGTATGATAACTTTGGGTTAATCTTATAGCAGTGATCACTGTAGGGTAAGGACTTGAGAATTTCCTGTTTGATGGAAGTAAAGGAAGCTCACTGAGCCACCCATCATCAGATCAGCACTCCTGAACAAGGCTTTTCCAGCCCTATTTGACCTGGTGTTTTCTAGAATGAAGAGAGAAGAATTAATTACAGAATCAGATATCAATAATGAATTAATTATAAACAGACATAAATCGATAATTGACTGATAATCTGTCAAAAGAAGACATGTTTACATAAAACTAATTTAATTTTCAAATGAGCAGGTCAGTGAGTTCAGTAACAGGGACACCAGCTATAGTCCCTTTTGGTAACTTGCTTTTGTGGTCTGTATCACAACCAGTTCTAAGCACGTAGTGAAAATCCAGCTCAATTTAAATGTCTCCACTTAAATATCAGCCTGGAGTTACTCTAGACAAGTCTTAGGCAGAGCACAACATCATTGATTACTGAATGTGCACAGGCTAGCAGGACTGCATTTACAAACACACTGAAAAAAAAATACAAATGCAACACTTTTTACTGAAAAAAAAGCACCATCTTTACTGTTGGTTCCTGATGGTTTTGTAACGTCTTTTGGCTTTTTTGACGAGTTGATACCACAATGTAAAGGATCCTAATGGTTTATCAGGTGACTAATGGCTAATTTTAAATGCATTTGATGGTTTTCTAATGGGATTTAATAACGTTCTACAGGAAACTAGTGGTCTCTATTGGAAAACATTAAGCCAATTCCTATTAAAAAGCAAAACCATTAAGTTTTAATCCTAATGATTTCTAATGGTCCTTTTTCAGCAGGGCAATCAACATAAGCATACTTTTAGATCTGGTACTAACATGCATTTCCCTTTATTTGAACACCAACAGCACCTACATGTTGCATTTAAAGTGGGCTGTAAAAGGCACCCAGGTTGCACAAGGAAACGTACAACTTCACACTGGAGTCCAAAGCATGAAAGCTGAAGGCAAAACAAAATCATGCAAGGTAAAATTTGTCTTCCTTTACGTCAGACTCCTTTTGATGCCTTCTCTCCACCTCGTCACTGCATCCTCTGTTTCTCCAATGCACAAGCATCTGTGAAACAACATCTGGGATCAATGCCTACTAGTGGACGGAAAGTAAACAAACATAAGAACAAGGGAAGGGAAAAATGTAATCTGACAAAACTTAATTACCAGCCTATGATCTTTAAATCTGACAGGCTTTCTTATCTGTGGAGAAACATCCCACCCCCTTTTCCCTGCTCTTTATTCTACCCATGTTTGACCACTCCTTCTGTTTTCCAGATACGCTTTTCATCATTAAAGAGAAATCCTGCACTGCCATTCCACTCCTGATCCACATCTCCCCATCAGTCCCATCTACTTCTCCCCACTACTTGCTCATGATTCTGGATATGTGTCTGTTTTGATTATGTGTGACCTATGAATGAACTCTCGCACAGTACAGATACTGATGACAATCCATGTGACTTTTACATAAATCTTCTCAGAAGTTACGAGCTGAGTTGGTAAAGAATGTTCTTAGAAGGCTAATTTCTTTAAAGCTAATTTCTTACACAGAAGGAATGCTTTTCTTAACACAAATGAACCCTCATCCTAGTCCATCAAGTGACATAGTATATCATCACTGAGCAAAGAAAAACATGTATCTCCATTTTGTAGATTTTAATTTTTCTCCATCATTTGAACTCAGCAGCTGCCCTCTACATTGTGTGACCATTTCATGATGAATGGACCCACAGAAATGCTCCAAAATGGCTTGGAATAAAATCCCTTTACTTTAACTCACATTAAAAGTAAATAACGTTTTTGCCCTCTCCTGTAAAGTTACTGTTTTGCAGATACTTGTTTTTCTCTGGACAGTGACGATATGCACAAGCACATACTTTTGTACTTTTACTCAAGTACAAATAAAAATTTAATACTTGTATTTTCACTCAAGTAATATTTTATCAAGAGTAGTTCTACTTTTACTCTAGTACTGTACCATGCCACCACTTATGTCCAGTCTCAAATCGGATTGTGATGTATACATGTCAGTTTTTGCTTATAGACTATGACTGTTAAATGTATGTATATAGCTAAAAATGTGGGATACAGACACATATGTAAGAAACACACACATCACATGTGAACATATGGTCAGTGAGGTACACAATAGGTTCACTTCACTCTGCAAGTCCATCAGTACTAATTAAAAGTCCTGCCCTGAGCTCTTTAAATAAACAATCAGTCTTCAAACACTCCACAGGCTATTTCTGAGAGAACAGGGGGAGGCGGTCTCAAAGGGAGGGGAAGCTGAGGGGCAAAGAAAGGCATCTGTATATCTGGCTAACTGACCACATTCAGCTCTCAGTCTACCCTCTGAGAGGCAGGCAGACCTGAGAGAGAGGACCAACAAGAAAGGGATACAAGAACACACCATAGACAAAGAAACAAGATTTGCAAACAGGACTCATAACTGGACATCCAACAAAGAGATTTTAAGAAAACAGTGGCCAGGATCCAAGTACATCCAGAAAGACATCTGCAGAACTCCAGATATGAACATTTACAGAGGCCATTGCTAATATTCAGCTAACATCAACATCAAGCTAAAGGGATTTAACAAATATTTCAAAAGAAGGATCTGCTGCACAAAAAAACAACACACATCAAGAACTGGAAGAGGACTACCAGGCTCCACGCCACACGGTGAGTGCTAGTGGAGGAGGACCATGATGAAAAGCAGACATAGGCCACCTATCTGATCCTGTTCTCATGGAATGCAGAGTCTTCACACTAGCAGACCAAAACATTTAAGGGTCAATTTCGCAGACACAGATTAAGCGCTTTTTAAAGACAGATTAAAGGATTCAACATATATATACACACACACACACACACACACACATAAATACATATATACACAAATATATATATATATATATATATATATATATATATATATATAGTACTTCTATATATATAAATATATATATATATATATATATATATAGTACTTCTCTCTGGACTCTGTGTAAGTAATGTGTAGCTTCCACTGCCTTATAATGCTGTATAATACCCAGGAAAGTAACAATATGAAGGATAAAGATAATGAAAACTGGATGGTGCTTTTGCTTTTGCTATAAAAGTTGATCCATAATCATAAGCGTTTGTTAAATAATTGGTGATGGGCCTGTTCGGTATTTGCAAAGGAAGCCATAATCCGGTGTGTGGGAAAACTGTAGAAACCACTTCACAAGCCTAGTAGAATTGGGTTCTGAAGATCAAAGTGTACAGATGAATGTTTCCCATCTCATTAAACTGCCTAACAAATCCGGTGAAAGTTTATTTGGGGGGGAAAAAAAGAAAAATCCAATTGTGTAGTTCCCAGAAAAGTAAAAGGGAACACCACTGGTGGCTGTAAATGGGTGGAGGAGGTTTTTAATTCAGATCTGGCACCTACCCCACTTAACCTGCGTCATGCCAAAAAACACAACGACAGGAAGACACTATCACTTGCTGGGTATGCACAGTGTTTATGTAGGTACATGAACTGGATAAAGTACCTTAAGTGTGCGTGAGTATTCACAAGACCACAATTTTAAGGTGTTAGCATGCCAGCAGATACGGTGCACTTATCTATTACTACAGAAGAGAGAGCAGTTATTTGGGCCAGTGAGATTTTTTTCTGGAGACTGGCCTGTTGGTTGATGTTTATATTAGCGCTTGAGGATAAAGTTATGTCCTCTTACTTCTGGTAGTCTAAGATAATATAAGCATAGAGAGTTTTTTTTATAATTTTGTCTTTCCATTGACACGACCAGAAGACCCCACTATCCTCAACAGAGCGCATGTAGCACTAAGGTGTCACAGTCATCTAAAGAGATTTCTGACATTGTGCCTGTAGGACCTATATTATACCTTATTTCACCATAACATTATGTTTTTTTCACAAACACTATCTCTCCCCGAGATGCCATTGCTAAGCAATGACTTTGGCAGCTGTGGGAGACGCTCAAGGCATTTGAACATTTTTACTTCTTACTTTATGCACAAACAGAAAATGGATACTTTTAAGATCACATTTGACCTACAGCCGATTTGGTCAGACTCTGAGGATGAGAACACAAAATTCTGAAATTGCCATCACCACTGAGCAAGCTTTTCAGTCAGCAGCTGTGACAGAAGAACACCTTAACAACCTGGAATTAGCCAGAAATTAACCGAATACCATTCGCCAAACATAATAGGCTGTAAAATGCTTTACAGACTGGCTGGAACAAAACAACATTAATACTGATCTAGCAAAAATTGACAACACTGAGCTAAACTTGATATTGCAGCAGTTTTATGGCTCAGTCTGATTTGGTCAGACTCTGAAGATGAAACTACACGTTTGGCGAATGGTATTCTAGGTTGTTTAGGTGTTGTTCTGTCACAGCTGCCGACTGAAAAGCTTGCTCAGCTGTAATGACAGTTCTGAAATTTAGTGTAAGGAGCTGGAGAACGAACTGCTGGCTGTACTCTGACGTAGCAACAAGCTGCTTGTTAAGGAACTAATTTGGCGGAAGGAATTGCTAACATTAAAACATTAAATGCCACGTTCACGGCCCAATTTATTTATTTCTTACTTTATTTATTTAACTGTTGTATAAAAGCAACAGAACACTGTGTGTTATCGCAAATAACATCACAGTTGTGATGTTATTTCGCAATAACACACTCCCTCTCGTGTTCTGTTGCTTAAATGTCATTCTAAGCTAAAACAGTGAGTTGCACACACACACTGAAGTGTAGCAAAAAGGTCACAAACTGTCATGACAATGTGCAGCAGTGCTTGGCCAAGCAGCTAATTTCACTATGTTTATTGGCATTGCATTACACAATTAAAAGCTAACCACACTACAAAGGATGTAAAACAGTGCTTCATTTAAAATAGCCAAGTTGCTGAAGAGCTGCTGTACGTTTTAAAACTAATTCAAGCCAAAAGAAATAGATACCACAGTCAGCAATAGCACGTTCTTCTATGCATTTGGTAGCCACCATGTGTGGAAATGTTACATAATATGTTAAAATGGAAGAAAAAAAGAAGTGGACTACGGAGCCACTCTTCCAGTGCTATTAAGTCCACATGAAAAAAGAAACATGAAGGTTTGACACAATAATTTTTTTGTCGTTTTTGTTTTTCACAAAAAGAGAATATTCCAAATTTCCATAACTAACCTCATATGATGCTACTGACAGCTAGTGGCAGTGTTTATCTCTATGATGAAGTGGAGGCGTCTTAGCTAAATGCGCTACTCTGGGGAGCTGTAACATCAAAACCCTGAGGAACTTTGCTGCCTCTTATACCCCGCCCCACACACACACACACACACACACACACGACCCTCGACGTATATACATGCAGATAGTAAAAGGCTTGGCCTCTTCATCACTTCACCTTATCAACCTTGCTTAAAACACAGTCAGATGCCAATTGGCTTCCGGCACACAGCTTTCAGATAACAATCTTCTGATAAAAGGGCCAATTAAGAGATCACACAAGTTTGGCTTCCCAGTGATAACAAATCTGCCCTTGCCATGAACTCCTCTGGTCCAGAGCCTCTCACACAAATATTACATAACAGATTTGGCTTTGGAAAATGATGAAAACTGGCAATGAACTTTGACAGTCTATCTAGTATAACAGAACAAAGAGTATGTTGCAGCACTGCATGAATTACAAGACATCTAAAAGCAACATTAAGGCTGTTTTCACATCTAGTCCCCGAGTGTGGCTACTTGTGATAATTTATTTGGTTAGGTTTGTTTCACATTACAATAGTTGAAGTGTATAAAATTATACATGTAGGTGTTCTTTGCTTTCTTTGATTGACAGTCTGTTACTTTTTGCTATTTTTTTTAACTTTCACGAGCCTATCAAACTATAAAATCCATCTTTATCCCTCACATATTTTTGATAAAGTATATCATCATACTCATGTTGCAAAAAATAAAAATGCCTATAGTCTACATGCACATTATAAGTGTTAAAAAAACCTCTCACTTGATCTCTCCATCTCCCAGTTCATTTTATTATGCATCACTTTGAATTCATCCAATCACGTTAGTGATGCTTGGCCCAATCTTTCAAAAACGTTCCACAGTCCATGTAACAAAATCAAAAGCTTCACTTTTGCTCATCTGCCATTATTAGCTTCAGCTCATGCTGCAAGAACAATACAAGCCTCTGTTAAGACTCAAACGGCAAAATGAGCAGATTATGCGGACAGTACAATGTTGATGTGCACTAAAAAACATGGTCGTATTGAATTCCCAAGTTTGGTGCGGACATCGTAATAAAATGTTCAACCCATCAGGAAGCAGAAACGAGAGCCACAGAACAATAAAGGTGGTGAATGTTACTCATTGTACTGTTATTCTTTCTGTTTTTCCATCTTTTACAGCTACGCATGTTGCACATTAGTTAACTGAAGTAACTTGGCCATAGCTTCCATTTGAAATCTACTAGAAATGTGTTCACAGCATCATGAAAGGACTGCCCATTTAACAAACCTAATGATGCCAACAACCTCCTTTGTCCAGGTCACCATGAGTCTGAACGGCACTCTGGAGAAGGGAGCTCATCATCAAGTTTTGGACTTGTCTGAGGAGCTCCCATCCCACAACCACCTTCATCACCATCAGCAGGCCCATCTCCAGCACAGCAACTCTCTGGCCTCTACAGTTCCTGCTGGAACTCCCATCAGCGAGTCAGGGGTGGTGGTGCCTCCTCCATACTCCACTGCAGACACTGGAGGTGGTGATGCTCCCTTAGAGCTGAGGGGGTCTCTAGACTGCTGGGCATGTTCAGTACTGGTGACAGCACAGAATCTGGTGATAGCCACCATTAACGCATGCCTGGCTGGCATGGTGTTCGGCCTGATCCTAACACCTGCCACAGTCATGGTGGTGTTTGGATTTCTCTGCCACTCCACTGTAAGTACACAAACAACATATTTTGAGTGTTTCAAAGAATAAAATAATGGGCCCATTTCCCAGATATAAGGCTACTCTTGGACTAAATTGCAATACTAATAGGAATTCACCACTGTACAATCTTTTCATCTAGGCTTAGGCGTAACATGGGTCTTGAAAACTCACCCCTTCAAGCACAGAATAAATAATAACTGCTATTGCAGAATGTTTTTTAAAAAGTTCAACATCTACTAAGTTCTTTGACTTAATAAATATATCCAATGATGACTGAATTTTCCTCCAAAGGATCAGAATGACGTTTTGTCTCTCTCCCTTTGATTTCTGGCATAATCTCTTAATCTTGAGCATTTCTCAGATGTTCGAGGGGTAGTATTAGTGAGGCCAGGTCAGGAGAGCTGACGTCAGCCCTGGAGCCTCTGTAGACTCTTTAGTTGTCCCACTCTCATACACAGGAGCAACTGACCAGATAGGAGACCCAACTTAGATACTGCTCAATTTCTATTTGACCTTCCACACGCAAGACAACAGTAAAAACTTCATATGCAACCTCATATATGTTCTCTATCACATTTAGTTTCTAAATGTAGCTAAACAACTTGCAAACAAACTGCAGCATTGTCTTTGTGAACTCAATGTCCTCAGTGATGTCTCTTAAGGTCAGTGTGGGTCAGTGTGTGTGAATTGAGGATGGATTCTCCTTCCTCTCCAATTAGCAGACACTTGTGGTCATTCCTTTACCATTCCAACCAATTAGTGCTCTCAAGACATCAGCTTAGTGAAGGATTAAATAAAAAGGAAAGCTGCAAACAAAAGGATAAAGAGTGAAAAGTAGGCCACCAGCAAGTTCTGATGTGAATTGAAGGTCTTTTCTGAACAAGAGCATACATACACATATTTCAGTCCAAGGGTTTTTACTTAACTGATGCTAGTTCGCTAAAGGTGCTACATCACCTTGACTCAACCATAAACTCTTGTAAAATAGAGCAACTGTTAATCAAGAAAACAAAGTGTATCTTCCTGTAAGACATAAGCAGAGCTAAGGGGCCATGAAACAGTTCAGTGTAGTAATGAAACACTCCAAACTCAAATTCTAATGTGACAGGCTACAACCAAGAAGGGCAGGATTACTACAAAACTCAACCTACAGTAAAAACAGAGCATGAGTTATTTTAACCAGATGTCTTTTAGAAAGGATTCATAGCCACAGCTTAGAGGGAGACAGAAAGCAAACACAGATGGACTTGTGTAAGGCTTATCAGCTCACCTCCTACCCTGTCCACCCTACTCCGTTTACTCAGCCTCCTCTCTTTCCCTCCCCCCCCTTCACTTTCTTCACTCTTTCCTTTCACAAGGGAATATCAAGGGAATATCAGTGGAATGTGGAGGAGACTAATCTTTCTTTCTCTCCTATTCTCCTGCTTTCAAACTGAACTTTCTCACTTGTCATCAGTGTTTTATCTTTATCTCACAGCATCACACCAGCCAGGTGCTATTTTATCATACTGACATCGGATTCCTTGCGTTCGATAACAAGTCAGATATTTTTAAAGAAAACCCCAAATTTAGAGCATTTTTCAAAATGCTTCAACAGAATCATGTGATAATCTAAATATGCTCTAGCTATAGAGAACAGTCTTACTGGTGAGCAGTTTGTGTCTCAGACACTCCAACATGACAGTCTTTCACAGCGCATGTGTGTCAGTGTACATGTAATAACGAAGCAGACATTCTAGCCCCACATATCTGCTCCTCGCCTGTCCTCACTTCAGAAACACATTCCTTCAGGGGCACATTTCGCTCCCCCCATGATTTTTTTCCCTCCCTCAAATCCCAAACCTCAACTCCACTAAATCAGCCTGTGATATAACCAAACCCCTACCATTTGCCTTCCAAAACATACCACCCGAAGTGATGTGATTAAGCTGTGGCTCAATGGACAATGCTATAATGTCTGAACTATCATAAAAAAGATTTTTCTTCAAAGGTTCTTTAGGAGAGAAAATGGTTCTATATGGCATCAAAAAGGATTCTTTTGTTACAAGACTAACATCATAACAGGAGAACCCTTTTCTCTACTAAAGAACCTTTGAAGAAAAATCTTTTTTAAGACTGATAATTCAGACATTATAGCATTGTCCTTTGAGCCGCAGCTATATAAAGGTTCTATATAAAGAACAACCTACAGCACATATAGATGCATAGATCGGCACAAGAAAGTGGTCAGGTACAAATTTGTTGTTGCAGCTTACCAATCTTTTTTTCCCTTCATTTCCACATCTCTACTCATTTTTGTTGTAAAATAATGCATTCAACAAATACTCAATCAGTAATATTCCAATCAGTACAATATTTCAATGCAATTTTCTCTGAAAGCCTTTATTCCTGTTTTTTCCCCTCTTGTATCTCTGTATTTGCTGTCACCTAGCTGACCGAACTCTTTTGTCCTCTATAAGGTGCGTCCACATGGTGCGTCTGCCTACTGCTCGGACCTGCTGAGTGATGGAGGCTGTGTGGCACTCTTAGTGGTGGGCTTCCTGCTTGTCACTCCACTACTGGTCCTGGCCCTGGCAGCATACTGCAGACTGGCTCGTCACCTCCAGCTCGGCCTCTGCTTCATCCCCTACAGCCGCGCAGTCTACAAGAACCTGCCTGCCACGCAGCACCATGGCCTGGGAGGGGGCTGCTGTGGTCAGCAGGCAGGGAATGAAGGAGGGAAAGGAAAGGTGTGGGTATGAGGGGGGCTTGATGGTGGGTCTCAGCAAGGCAGTGTTTTTGCTCTTATTCTTTTAATGGAACCTTCTTTTAAATCCCCTATACCAACGTAGGGTGCCTTAAAATAAGTAAAAATGACACCAAATAATGCCATTTGCCAGTAAATAAATGCACCAAATTCATGCAAATATTCATTTCTTTCTTCAAGGTTCCATAATAGTTTGTGTTGCTCCAAGCTGAAACACTTTTTTCCTCATCAAAATTAAAGATGTACTCTAGTGCTGAGAAATCAGAAATCATCTTTAAAATGCAGGAGTCAGTTTTTAAAGGTCAACAAGATTACTTTCTTTAACTTAGTACTTTCACTTAAAAAGAACACTGGATTATTTTATGAGACCAAAGCTGGACTAGTTACACTGTATCTTGTATGCATTTCTAACCTCAGAAAGGTATAACCTACAAAATGATGAAACTTTTTTAATAAAGATGTGTCGATATAAATGTAAATTCTTTCCTCGTTTAAACTGTCTTGTACTGTGGTTATTATTTTATACTCAAATAAAAGAAAAAAAACTTTCATACATATATTCTGACTGCTGTATATCCCCATTAATGTAGAAACAAAAATGTATGTGGGATTATAGTGCAATCTAAAATGCACAATACGCAACCCATATGGTCTGGCAATTCTTCACCTGCACACTACCCTTAACCTTAGTGTCCACAATGCAATTTTCCTGCTCTTTTAGTTTAAAAAAATTAATTTGTGCTCAAAACACGTACTCAAGTGAGGACCAGCAAAATGTCCCCACTTGAGCAAAATGTCATGTTGTCCTATCACTGTATAGCCCTCACAAAGACAGCAAGTGCACACACATACACAAACCTAGCAACAGTATACTTGAAGGAGGAGTGTTCTTGTGTTGCCAGTGCACACAAAGAATGACAAACAAATAAGAAATAACAGCTCTCAAGAATGTTATGCTTCTTATTAAATCTGTAGTGTTTTGTTGGGGGAGAGGAATGCAAGTCATTTACAACCTTCAGAACACCATAACGGCTGGAATCAGGACCAATATGCCAAGGGGTGAAACCCACTGTGGCCTGATCAACATTACCTTGTAGAGCCCTCTAGTGTTCATGGAAATGCACAAACAAACAGAAGTCCAGTCCATTCACACAAAATACAGTATTTCTATTCAATTTGACACTCATGGTATAAATTAGTGATACTGGTATCAGGTGTCAATCCGATATTGCAGTAATTTACTGGCATTTATATAAAAAATTACAGATACCAATATCCAGTACCAACTGATACCATGTGATGTAAGCTGAGTGTATGCTGCTAATTAACAAATGACTCAAGCTGACATTGAAGGACTTGGTTAACAATTTTTGGCGTTTTCCAGGGAAGTCTTCGGTATTGAAAAGAAAACCTTCCTGTTTGGTTGTGATTCTGAGAACGTTCCCATAACATTCCCGTAACCTTAAAAATATTGAAAAATATTGAGGAACCTTGTAGTAACCTTTAAATCTTTAGGGAACCTTGCAGTCCAGCTTGGCCTCTGCTTCATCCCCTACAGCCGCGTCGTCTACAAGAACTTGCCTGCTAAAGGAGGGAAAGGAAAGGTGTGGGTATGAGGGGGGGTCTCAGCAAGGCAGTCGTTTTGTTTTTTGTTACATTTGATGAACATTTCACAATGAATGAGCCATCAGAAATCTAGCTATCCAAGATAACATGGAACAAAAACTTTTTACATTAACTTACTTGTATTAATGAACCTACACTAAAAGTTAATACACTTATTTCACAATATATACATTACATTTCAACTACTAAATATTGCATTCTTGATGAAAGGAAATTGATTTGCCCATGTGAAGATTAAAATTCCTAGTAAACATTAAAAATGTATTTTTTTTTCTTATGAAAAGAAAAGTTCTTATGAAATGACTTTTTACTATGAAAAATGTTATTAAATTCTACAGAATTTCTTCATTGTAAAATGAAAAATAGGATTAAAAGCTAAAACCACTTGCAATAAAATCAATTCAAACATATAATTAAAACACTGATATTAAAATTAACCAAATTATTCTTTACTTATTTGGATTTCAACATACTACCCAGAAGGAGAATTCGCCAAACACTGAATTTGTTGCAGGAAGAAGAGGCTGTTTTAAGGACAGTAGCAGTTAAATCTGCCAAACTGAAATCCATCTACAATGAGTTACAAGGTTTGTCATGATGCTTGTCCAAACATATCAAATGTGTCTTCTAAATAAACACTCACCGAGGTATACCAACCTTGTATCTACATTTATTGCCCATGGTGTCAGCTCCCCTAACCATACAGGTGCACTTTTTTATAGTTTGAAAATTACAGACTGTAGTCCATCTGTTTCTTTGCTAATGTGTTATCCCACCTTTAACCTCAGTCCAGCAGTGACACTGAATTGTTTAAAAACTCCAGCAGCGCTGTTGTACTGATAAGAGTCCACTAACCAAAAACATCCAGCCAAGAACATCCAGTGACCACTGATGAAGGACTAGAGGATGATCAACACAAACTATGCAGCAGCAGAAGAGTTATCATCTATGACTTCACATCTACAGGGTGGACCAACAAGGTAGGAGTGTCTAATAGAGTGGACAGTGAGTGGACACAGTGTTTAAAAACTCCAGCAACACTGCTGTGTCTGTACCAGTGCAACATACACTAACACACCACCACCACATCAGTGTCACTGCAGTGCTGAGACTGACCCACCACCCAAATAATATCTGCTCTGTGGTGGTCTTGTGGAGGTCCTGACCACTGACGAATAGGCTAAAGGTGGAATAACAAATTATGCAAAGAAACAGATGGACAGCAGTCTGTAACTGTAGAACTACAAAGTGCACCTGTATGGTAAACAGAGCTCATAAAATGGGCAATACATATAGAAACAAGGTTAGTATACCTAACATACTCAGTATGTAGTAGTATACCTAAGTGCTCAGTATGTGAATCCACATTTTTCATGTAAAATGTATTTAAATCATAAATTCACTGCCTATTTTCCATTCTTAACAATAAAATGGAAAAAAACGAAGGACAAACTCGGAAAAGGTCCAATTTTTAAACTCTTTCATTGACAAACGCAAAGGTCACCAGCAGGGGGTGATACGAGGATTTTAACAGGATAAGAGATGGGAAAAATAATTTGGAACAGATGGTGGAAAGATGGCATCATTAGCTCCATAACAGAAGAACATTAAAATGTTTCATTATAATATGACATGTGGCCACATTTCAGCCAGTATGGCTTAAATGGGTGAACAGAAGTTTATAAATGTGTATAACGTTGATTATACTTGCATGTAGGCTCAAAAAGGTTAGAAAACACTGTAGAAAACAAATTTGAATCAACATCAGTTTCTTTAAGCTTTAATTACTGTCAGAGTACTTTAGGCATTATTTTTTGCAGGACTGTTATGAATCGATACCGGCACATTTTGCAAGTTGTAAAACGTGCTAGCAATCCTCGTTCATGAATCAGCCATAATCCATTTTTTGCTTAATGCATTCATCACCGATTGAACATGCAAATAGCACAGCTGAATACATGCATACATATATTTGTATATGAATAATAATGTAAGGCACAGTTAAAATACCAACTTTATGACACCATGATATTTCAATTTAAAATGACTAACCTGGAAAGCTTGGAATTCAGATAAAACTAAAATTAGAAAATCTTTTTAAAAAGAACACAAGACTGAATACATTGTCATCACTTATTATAAGTACATATTATAATTACATCACTTATTACAATTACACTTGTACCACATTTGGCGTAACTACACAGATTTTAGGTGCTATATCGTGACACCATTTTTTTACATAGCCATTGCTTTTCTGCAAAGTAAAGGATGAAATAGCCCACAATTTTAATACATATATATATATATACACACACACACACACACATATATGTATATATATATATATATATGTACATATATATATATATATATACACACACACACATATGTACATATACATATATATACACACACACACACATTTGATTACAAATGATGAGAATAAACTGGCTTTAACAAATGACATGACTGTCCATGGAATCAAATCTGACATGGAAGACACAGATTAGTTTGAAATTACCCCAAGAATTCTTTGAAAATACTTATCTTAATCTTATGCATCTTAATATGTCTCCGTAAAGAAAAAATGGCCTGGTTTAGGCTTATACCTTCTATAAAGTAGACATTTAAGCCTTGAGGTTGGCTATTGGAAGACGGTTTATCTGAAAACACAAATTCAGATGGATAATTTTGGTAACCAATTATGCATGTATGAAAAAATAAAATATTTGAAAAAAAAAGTTGGGGCTCTCAACTCAAGTCTTGCACACAAACCCCTGCCCTGAATAGTCTTCCTCTCACAACAATCCATAGGATCAGGAGTGTTGGAAACAATTTCAAACTGTGCAGGGGGCTCACAAACACTTGAGTTCAGAGCCCCCAAACAATCAGAAAAATAATAAAAAATAAATAAATAGATAAAAGTCCACACCTACCTACCTACTCCAATGGCTGCTCCCCATGCCGCTTTAGTTCTGACCTCTGAAACTCCTCCTTGGTGGTCCCCCCATTTTGTCTTTGACCCCATTTTTATCCCTCATCCTTGTCACTGTGCTGGTCCATGTTCCTGTCCAAGTCACTACGTGTGTCCCATGCCATGTCTGTCTCATTGAATGTCACTGTTCCTGCCACCCTCCTCTATCCTGACTCCAGCTGTGTCACATCTTAATAGCTTTGTATTTAAAGGCAGAGGAGGGCCTATCAGGGCTTCCTTGTCCTCATTCCTCCATTTTCCATCTTGTCCCATGTCCCACCTTATTTATCCCTGAAATCTGTGTTTGGTTTTTACCTCTGCTTTACCAAGTGTTTCCAGGCGTTCTGTATAAGAAGCCCTCTCTTGTCCTCATGCTGCCCTCATGTTTGTCTAGTCTTGCTTTGTTTTTGTCCTGTGTTTCTCACATAGGCTGCTGACATCAACGAATTTGATTTGGTTATACTCACCAACAAATCAAACACTATTACACTCACAGAAAAAAAGGGATGAAACTGTCACTGGGGTGGTACCCACAAGGGTACATCTTAGTACCTTTAGGCAGGGAACACAACTGTACCATAACCCATTGAATTTTTTTTTCAAAGTTGTATTGACTCCACACACCCTGTCTCGTCTCCAGGCTTTTTATTTTATTCTTGTTTTAAAACTTTAGATTATGAAAAGGTACAAATACGTACTTTTCACCTGGGAAAAGCTTATTTAAGGTGCACACCTGGACCTTATAACCACTGTTGTACCTTTGAGGGGACATTTACATTGTTTGTACTTTGATGAATGAAAAATGCACCCACAGCACCTTTATTTCTAACAGTGTAGAGTCATTAAACTGTGCGATTAGAAAATCAAAGAACCCCCCCTCGCCAAACAGTGTACTGAGCAAAAAAATAAACCTTGCTTTACTCAATGTAATGCCACTAGATAACAAAACACTAC